TTCACATCAGCGTAGATCTACAGAAAACGAAGCACCTTCGAAGACCTTACCAAACCGTACGTAATTAAGCGATTTTGTTTCTACGACAGGGCCGTGAGAACTGTGACTAATTAGACGTTGCTTAGCAGCTTTCACTAATGTGACGTTTCAGGTGGATTTTTCGAGACACGAATGGCTTGAATATTACCTCTGCCAGGAACGCCTAGGGTGTGGACCTGCTTCCACATTATTTATAACCATTCAACGACGATCTGTAGGAAAAGTGGTACTTATTCGTTTTTTTCGTACAGTCGCTTCCTCTACAATACGGTGATGTGTTGTATGCTTCGAACTGCTGAACAGCATGAGTTCACAATTCTGCTGTATAAGTAAACGGAACTTAAACTCAACGCATCACTCGGCCTTTCAGATGTCGGTTTTCACAATGTATTCTACAACGTCTTTGCTCCTAGTTACTTAGGGGGCATTTAAGCAGGCCGGGGCAACATGGTATTTCAACACCTGCAATGCCAGATGCATCTTATGTCATTCTGTTCCTTAAAGCCAAATCAATTTCTAGATATTTCATAGTTGCTGTCCAGCTCTGTTCTGAGCGTCGTATGATTTTTCGACTAACATTCAAGAAAGCGGAGAAGTGAACTGTGTCGTCGAACCTCATTCAAATGACCTGAATCCTGAAAAGAAAAAATTTCGGATGCGTCATGGAACAACAACGGATTGAAAGGAAGAACGTTCATAACCTAATGAGGCTCAATCTGACATGAATGGAATGCGATTCTTCCATGATCCCAGTTGCACGAAGAAAAAGGACTCGATTCTTGTGCTTGCAACAGTACACTGGGCTGAAATAATGCACAAGCACCAATGACGTCGAATCTGTAGTTCTCAGCAGAAAAAGCATTCAAGCGCTGAACACTCAATTAAAAGCTATCGATTAAGAACAGCGTTTTGTGTCCTGTTTTGTGATTCAGTAGTGGACAAAATTTTTTGGCACCTCCCCGTTAAAGACCAGCATTGCATAATGCTTCGGTGCTGTGCTGGTCTGAATGGGTTAAAACAAAGAGGGTATGAAATCACCATAGTTTCCAATTCAAGCAGCATAACAATTGATTATTTAATCTTTCGTAATTACTTCGAAAATAAAAAGTACCGAGAAATTAAATGCTAGATACGAAGGTAGATATTCGGTTTGAAAAGAAACGAGGAAATGACAGTGATCAGTTTGTGTAGGCATAAAGTTTGACAGAGTTTAAGATAAATTACTACCTCTCTTTGGAAAGTCAAAAACATAATTGTAAGCAGACAAAGGAGGAATTACGTTACTTCCTATTCACTGCTCTTTGTAAAAGTCTACTATAAAATGTACCGGAAGAATTATCTGTGGTAAAGGAGTGCCTTACATAAACTCAGTTTAGCTGGTGCCCTGCTTACGAACGACAAACAACGACTCTATTGTCAGAACGTATTCTACAGCGACGTAACGTAAAACTGTGAGCAGTCGCGACGGCAGCCAATGAAGCATGCCTCCACGTGTCACAAGCGGACAGCTGCCGGGGCAACGTAATAACGGATGGAAAGTTTCATATATCTTCAAGGTAAATCTGTCAATGGATAAGGTATGAAGACCACTAATCTGGCGAAAAGGATCTGGATCGACTTGAACGCACCGTACGTTGTATCCTCTGGAGAAAGGATTTTAATTTAAAACTGCCATGGACGCCTGGCGCCTGTAACAGGAACAACCGATGACGATGGCAGATTTTACACAGAGTGATGTCTAGAATGCTTGTGAATGCTGCTGGAGTGCACGTAACAGAAAAAGTGATTAACGCTCATCTGCACAAATGTCAGGGCTTGAATTCGCCTCACGCTGATGCTAGAATATAGCGTGCACGAAGGCTGCTAGAAAAACCTCACATTTAATGGAACCGCTCGGCAATTAGGTCGTTGAATAGATGAGAGATACAGCGACGACAAAAGTTTGCACTGCATTTTCAATAATGCAAACCGTTAAATAATATACTTCAACAGTGAAAGGAAGAGAAAAAAGTTTGTAACCTTTGGGATGTCAGTCTCCGCTGCAGCCATATTGTTTTTATCTGCCAGTTGTTTATGACTGTGTTCATGGTGCTTTCACAGAAAGAAGCAGAATTCGTGCTGAACGTTTATTAATGTGCATTCTTAACACTTATTTGAAACATTTATGAATCGTATGGGCAGATTGAAAGAAAAGCATAAAGTATCTATATTACGGAATTTTACCTATGATAGACACCATTCAGCAACTTGCTTAGCCCAATTTTCGTAAACGACTTAATTTACTCCGTCGTTGCCCGTTCAAAACCTGGATGAGAAACGAGGAGAGTTGGAGACAGCAGTGAGGTCTCCTCAAAACTTAGCCACATGCCCCTTATGGTGCTGCCGTAATCAAAAATTATACCGGCTCGGTCGTTGCCCGGGCTACCAAGGAGGGACTGAGGAAGAATGCAAAAAGTCGGCGATCAGAACCTGCTCATCGCCCTCTCCCAACCGGAAGCGTGGCAGCACAACAACGAACGAGGAAGACCGACGGAACGACGACGAAGATACCAGTCAGCAACGGAATAGCAACCCGTTCTGAACGGAGGAGACGACAGCGCGATGCCATCATAGCACGTCATAAAAGGCTCCTGGCGAACATCGCCAGTGGGAGCTTACAATCGGAAATTCGAACACAACCTCACTCTGAGGGAAAGAGCAGAAACTAATTGACGAGGCCGCAAAGAATTAACTGGACAGAGATGGACTCTCTCCAACGAAGCGCCAAAACTTTGGAATCCGCAACCTCAGGGGGTGGAAGCTGTTCTACTCAGCTGTCGATAAAGCAGGTATAGGTGTTCTGGAAGAATCAAACCTCGCTGACAGAATCACCGAATGGAAGCCCGTCAGCGGAAGGGTGGCAATCCTTCGACTGAAGCTACAACAGGATTAATCGATGACCTTGGTACAGGTCTATGCGCCCAATTTGGAAGGAGAATATGATATCTTCCTTGAGGAAGTGCAGTGTGCTCTGTCCGAAGTGCCGAAAACAGAGTTCTTCATACTTTTTGGCGATTTTAACGCACACGTCGGAGTAGACGCTGAAAAGTGGAACGGCGTGATTGCAAGAAACGGTCCTACCGACATCAACGGACTCCCTGTTACGAACACCTTGTAGGAGCATCGAAGCGTGCATCAATAAACCGGGTACACGGAAGCTTAAACACATAAGTTGATGGTCGATAAAACAATCACATCGCCTGACTTATGGCCACAACGAAACTTGCAAAGAGCATCTCACGACGGTTTGAATAGATCCCGGTGATGACCACTGATCGATGTGAAAACCGGGTTGCAGCTCTTAAAGAACGGCATACTGGAGGCTGCGTCGATTGCTGCGGATTTAAACGGGTCGGCTGGCCTGCCGCCTGGAGGTCAGAAAAGATCTTCATGGTGGACACGAGAGGTACAACTGGCAGTTAAAGGAAGAAAGTGGAGTTCAACAAATGGCTTGAAAACAAAGAGCCTTCTAGTCGCGAGCGATATGTCGAGGCAGGCAAGGCGACAGCCATAGCAGTGGCAAAAGCCAAAGCTGATTCCTGAGAAAAGTTCGGTGAGGTGTTGGAGTCGAATTTCCACAAGGCAAACAAAGTGTTCTGGCAGACCATCCGTCGACTCCGAGATGAAAAGACGGGCAGTCTCAGAGTCTAGAAGGACAGATCTGGTAAGCACCCTCTTACCAAAGATGATGACATGCTTCGGCGATGGAGGGATTACTTTGGGGAACTCATTAATCCCGCGCAACGGCAGGAAGACTCGTTTGTAGAGCAGAAGGGAACGGATATTACTCTCTCTGTACATGAAAATACACAAGCTGTGAAATGCCTGAAAATGTAAAAGCTGCTGGAATTGACGAAATCCGCCCTGAGATGCTCAAGACATTAGCCGAACAGGGTATGTACTGGCTTACACGTGTCAGTCAAAGTGTGATGACTGTGGGAAAGACACAAACGGACTGGAGTACGGGAGTTATTGTATCCGCATTCAAGAGGGGAGGCCACAAAAAGCGCTCCAATTATAGAGACATTAGGGTATTGAGACTTCCGGCAAAAGCTTAGGCAAAGGTGCTAGAAAGGAGGTGCCGCGGAATAACTGACTCCAAGACACAAGAAGAGGAATG